CAGACAGTAGCCCTCAGGCCAGTAACAGCATACTTTTAGGGGGCATCTATAGCACCATAGCATAGCTGATAAGTTCTCAGTAAAGTTTGTCAAAGTTAATTGAAATAAAGAGGAAATCAAAACACCTGAGTTCAAATTACAGTTTGTCTATTTCTTTGCTATATGAACTGAATATTATTTAATCTTTCTGTGCTTCCCTTTCTTCTTATGTAACAAGATATTGTTGCAATAAATATCAGACAGGATTGGATACATTAACATGGTTGCTTGGTGTATAAACACATATATTTAAACTCCCCTTTGTTTACACAGTATTGTAATTACATCCCAATATATTCTCTCTCCCAATATGAGGGTACGTTTAAAGGACAGGATCAGTGTCTCGCTAACCTTTGACTCGCACCACCCCAAATCTCTGTATGTAAGAGATATTTAATATGAATAAGTGCTGTAGAAGGCTAATGGATTTAGAAACTGTATTGCTTCAAATCTTTCTGTCATAACAGTCTTTAAGAATTAAAAACAAGCAAAAAAAAATATGAAGCATCACAAATAACTTAGTGGTCCAGCCTATTTCCAATAACTCCGGATATCTAACAGTCTTCTAAGAGCCACACGAAAGCTGGGAAGCCTTTGTTTCAGTTTTTCAGTGTGTGTCTCCACCTGCTGTATTTACTGGAAAGTGGTTCATGCGTTCTAAGAGTGAGATTCCAAGGATCTGTCCTTGCACAATCAAAGCTGCACCCTGGGCCTTAGTGTACCGGTACATGTCCTCGGGCACCACTAGGGGGCACGCGAATGTCTACTTCAGGGCGCTTTCACTCAAGGACAAGCAAGTCTTGAATTTAAAAAAAATAAACAAAGTAAACGCACCACTACGCAGCTCGGTCTGTTTCTAAGTGGAAAACTACATGTGGGCATGTCCAGATTTGTATTTTGTGTTCCCTTACTGAGTGATACGATCTCCCAGCTCATCTTTCCTTTTGTTTTCTATTTCCTCCTTCCAGGTCTCTCTCCCTTTGACTGTAACAAATGAGCCTTTTTTCGACACAGGCTTAACCCACAAAAACAAATGCAGATGAGATAACACAAGCACTGCATAATTTTGTTGGCGAAGCGGGGAGAGCTGACCCTGCAGCCTCTAAGCACCTGTTTGTGCTTCCTCCTCCCCGCCTTACTGGCTCTCAGCCCTGCACACCCACTTTCTGTTTTCTTTCTGAAAATCCCCCTTCCATCTTGGCAACATAACAGAATATAAAAATTAAGAAAATAAGACTTTGAAAAAACTTGTTTATTAAAAAATAAACCCAAACCAACCTCAACTGTCCAGTGGGTACTACTAGACTCCCGTAAATGGCTCTGAATTCCAACTCACTATTGCCCTTTTATGCATCCTGAGGGCTACCTGCTGGACACGTCACAATTCCTCATCAAAGGATCATCTAGCCTGAGAGTGACACACAGAAACACGTCAGCCACCTGCAAGCTGAGAGGCTGTTCCTGCAAACCTGGCTGTGGAGACAGTGCTTCCATGCAGACTCGGTTTGGACTGTCAGGGCCCTCTAACATTGGGCTGCATTCGTTCTGCCTTCTGGCGAGTCCAGGGCACACAGTATTCAAGTGGTCAAGCAAAGATAAAGGTCATGGTGCTATGGGCAAGCTAGACATTTCCAATCCCAGAAGAAAAAGTAATAAAATTTTAACAAACCTGGGCATGCTGACACATAAATCCCCAGTATCACAAATAAATAAATAAATGTTTTTTATATTTTAAAAAAATCTAGTGAGAACCTCCTCAAGCCTCAGGGCAACGGTTAAGAGAATTTTACACCTCTGGAGACTGGGCTACTGTTCTGTCACAGCTGACACAAGCTCTGTGCCTAAGTGAGTGTCTGCTTTTTACGACTTTTGGAAAAAGCCACCATATTTCAATTTTACCTGGAAAGCTGTAACTACTCTACTCTCATATCATGCGAATAATAAACCAGGCGTGAGTTCACTAATTATTGCAATAATTATTGCTCTCTAATACTGTAATGGCCAATTAATTACTACGCACAGTTTTTATCTTAATACTCCTTAGACTTTTCTCCAGATAATCCCTGGAGTTTCTACCCCATTTGGTTATTCTCTTAAAACTAGTTCTACCTAATCCATTCTGTTATAGATGAAAAAGATCATTACTTTGCATAAACAAGTGCATACAAAGAATTTAAAGTACAATACCTTTAACCCTTCAATGTCTACTGTCCCTTCTAAAAATAATGTTCTAAAAATAATGTTCTAAAAATAATGTTTATTTTTAGAACACTCAACAATAGAATATAATAAAACTATTGCTCTTCAAAAATAAGTAAAGTACCATACTTAGCTATACTTTAAATTTTTTACATTGGCAATTTCAAACAGCTGCCCTAGAGGGTGCTGCTCAATATTTAAATGCTCATTCTTTTCCCAAGTTCCAAAATGCAGGTTCCTAGGTCTTGGGCTCTGAATTTTCTGAATAAGAAAGAGAGAGATTTGCCTTTTTAATAAGTCTCCTGAGCAAATGTGAGACAAACTAAGTTAGACAACAGCAATTAAACATTTTAAAAACTGCTCTAAGTTCCCTGAACTACTTCCACAAAGCAACTTTTGAAAAAAAAATCCTCCTTGATTAGAAGGAGAGTGTGAAGTGGCCACATAAAGTGTATCCACGCCCAACACTCTCAAAACCTCTATGACCACTGCAATCCCTCAGCGGATATGGCAGCCTCCCAACCCATATTCTTGCTTCCATGTCTGTGGAGTCAGTTCCCCAGCAGCAGCTGGAGTGAATTTTTTTAAATAGATACTGCTTCTTATGCTCCTGCTCAGAACCTTGGAATTATCACCCATAACCCTCAAAATAAAATCCATGTATCATGCAGCAGCTCACATGGCCCTGAGGGAAAAAACTTTAGTCAGTTTTCTTGCAGCCCTTGGCTGGTTATTTTTACTGTTCTTCCAACAAACCCCAGGGCCTTTAAGCAAGCTGTGTCACAGCTCTTCCTCAGAATTTTGAAGCTTCCCTCTGCTCACTGCTTTTGGATGACTGTTCATATGTCATCTCCTCACTCATCACTACTCATCTGTCTTGCCATGGTGGCTGGGGGAGGCAGGGCCTTGGGTGACCAAGGAGAGAGTACTGTATTCTTTTTCATCATCACAAAGCACAGGAACAAGCTTTGGTCTACTGAATGAGTTAATGAATAAGCAAGCTAAATTAAAGAGCAAATAGAAAATATTAAATCTACATACAAATAGAGACCTGGTCTTTTAATTATTCAATGGTATTTCAACTAAGTTTCCATTTAAAGTTGTACATGGAAACTGGCCAATTTTACACCACCATTCATCATGCCAATCACTAAAACGGTGAGTTTTGCACAAGGAAAAAGTTTATTCAAGAGGCAACCAAGTGGAGATGGGAGAGTAAGTCTCCTTAACCACTTCCCTGAGGTTAAGATTGAGAAACATTTATGAGATAAAGGAGGCACGGTAATTTAAGACATGGCAAAAAGCGATGGGAGTTGACATCAGCAGTGTGCACACATCGTTTCCATAGAATGCACTTGTTCAGAAAACAGCAGTGTTAGCATGATCTGAGGGAGAGCTTTGGGCTCTCCAATAGCTAAAGTTCACCCATATCCATTTGTGCAGGGCCAAGGGAAGAGATAGAGGTTGCAACAAAATTGACCTTCAAGTCCATAGAAGTTTCTTCAGTAACTGTTATCATCATGTCCTACATATCAGGGGAATTAGCTACAGCAAAGCTAGTGGGAGGCTAAGAAAGTTTTGCTCAGCTCTGTGAAGCTGAAAGCAAATGATGTCAGAGAGTTTGGTCAGGTTTTTTTCTCAGTTTCACCATCATGAGCTGGCTAAAGATATTTTACCAAATGATAGACCAAATATACAGCAGTGGCCCCATAAAACTATATCACCTAATGACATTTCAGCCATCTTAGTTTATGGAAGTACACTTTATGATGTTTGCACAATGATGAAATCACCCAAGAATACATTCCTGCCATTAAGTTATAGGAAGCTGTACATTCAATTTTTCGTCTACCCTTGTCTTGCCTCTTAGGAATGAGTTCCAATAGGTCTCTGGGAAGAGACACACATTTTTTTGTACACTGGTGATTGACTCCAAGGCCTTCACATTGAGCTACGGTTTCAGCTTATCTTAGTCGCTTTTCTCATTGCTGAGACAAAATACACAAAAATGCCCAACGTTTAGGGAAGAAAAGTTTATTTAGCCAACAGTTTATACAAGTTTCAATCCATAATCAACAAGATGACATTACAAAGAAGAAACAGTTCATGGAAGGCAGAAGCTAGCAAGACAACAAGGGATAAGACAAGTCTCTTTCTGTCCCTTATATTATATCCAGGCTACCATGATTAAGGCAGTACTGAACCAATCCTTGGATTATTTAATAATCACCCACTCTTAATTCTAGAACCCTTAGTCCTAGCATTGCATGAATCATAATCCAGATTCTGCCACCTCTGAAAAAGCCCCCCCTATGACTGCATAAAGTTTTGGGGGACATCTAGGCACAAGCCATAGCATGGCCCTTTTCATTTTTTATTTTAAACAAGTTCTCACTAAGTTGCTAAGTTGCCCAGGCTGGGTTTGAACTTGTGATCCTCCTTTTTCAGCCTCTCATAGTACTGGGATTACAGACATGTTCTACTATGTCTGGCTAGAGACACACCCTTATAGAAAGGCACTTCAAAGGTTTCAGGTGTATACCCAATATAGTTCATATTACTTTAAAATTATTTACCTAATAATAACCTTAACATTAATATAAATTTAAGAAAGCAGATTTTAACAAAAATTCCTGGCTCGGTCTAATCCTGGAGAATTAACAGTGTCCTCTTTCCTATAGTGGACGATGCTTGGTATGGGCCCTCTTGATCCATACTCCACCCTTGTCTGTCCTGCTGATTAAGTGGCCTAGAACACTGACCTTCATGGATTGCATCATACAGGTTCCCTTCGTCACTGTCTTCTTTGTGTTTTGGCCAGTGGGAAGCATCAGCAGGATTGGCAATGGGTAGTGTCCTCCATCTAACGATGCAGTTGAGTCAGACGGCCTTCTGCTAAACTAGTCTTCTCTGAACTTTAGTAGGTGGCTCTTCCCCTTGCCCTTGTGGACCTGAGTATTGCAATGGCTCCCTCAAGTTGCTGGTGCTGGGGTGTTTCCCCTGACCTTACCCATATATAGCTCTTAATCTTTTTTCAATCACTCCTTTGGGTTAATGGTTAACATGGTTTGAGTGTATGGTGTTGTCATCTCTTCCTAATGATTATCAGAACCTAAATTGCGTCAGTAACATTTCAGCCTCTTCCTCTCATTGTGTCCATTTTTTCCTCATTTCCTAAACTGCACTCAACAGCTCCAACATCGTTGGCCTGTACCTCCACTACAGCTAGCACTCTAGAAAGTCTTAACATTCTGCGGTTCTCTACTAAAAGGGTCTTGGCTTCTATTTATCTTTCAGAATACCATACTTATGTTTTAAGCATGGAAAGTTAAAAAAAAAAAGAATTAGCTACTAAAAATTCTTTAAAATGACTCTCCCACAACACCTGTCACCCTATTTATTCTGAACACCCCATGAGCGACATTGCTTTGAGCAAGACTGGTTGTGTAAGCATTTACCCAACAAATATCAGCAACTGGGAAGCCCATAAATAGCAGCACAGAGACAAACAGGATGACTCATTAAGCCCTCTGAGTCACACTGGCAGGGGCCAGTCTTCCTCCTTAATTATGGGGCACTAAACCCATCATTTCTGAAGTCATCTCTAAGCCTCATCTAGACAAAGTCATGCATTAATTTCCTTTGAAGATGGGCAGTCCTCCTCCTTCTAACTACCATTAGAAATTAAAGTGCCTGGCTGACAGGGGTGCTGTAAGTTAATAGTATATGTCCTCAGCAATTAGCCTCCTCCTGCAATTGCTGTTAGCTGGTTCTAGACCTGGCTTAGGCACCTTCAATCTGTGGGACCAGGCCCCTTTGCTTCAGCTCACTGAATTTATCTCCTCTATTGTGAGATAATAAAATGTGCCTGGCTGAAGGCTTATCATGAAGATTAAAATCAATGTTTCCCATTACATGATACTCTAGAAAAGGAAAATTATAAAGACATAAAAAAGATCAGTTGTTGCTAAGGATTCAGGGATAAATAAATAGAGCACAGAGTATTTTTAAAGCAGTGTGACTAATCTCTATGCCACTATCTGGGCATTCCCATGTATAGTTTAATGGGCATTTATATATGAACTTTGACAACTGCCAAACACTGACCAAACCCTAATGTAGACAATAGATTTTATTTAATATAAAACATCATTTTATCCAATAATAATGTCCATTAATTGTAGTGACTGTAACTTATTTATAGGAGATACTAATAGGAGAGAGGAGGAAAAAAAGGAGATTAATATATGGAAATTTTGTGTACTTTAGAGGCAATTTTTCTAAAAACCAAAAATTGCTGTAGGGGATGGATTCTTTTTCAAGACCAGCTTGGATAAGATATATGAGAAGCTTTTCAGACTATAAAGAGCTAAATAATTATATGGCATAACACTTAAATGTGCTCTGCTTCATGGGGAAAAGTTAGTCAAGACTTTCCATCTTCACCAGATATATTTCTGTGGCTGAAATAGATTTCTACAAAAAAAATTGCCTGAACAGATTTCTATAAAATCCAAACCACAGCACAAAGATTCTCCCTCCACACAAATATTACCTCTTTAAAATTGTCTTGGGAGCCAGGTATGGCAGTGCATGTCTGTAAACCCAGAACTTGGGAGGCTGAGTCAGGAGGATCACTGTGAGTTTGAGGCCAGACTACCTTGTGAATTCAAGGACAACCTGAACTACAAAGAGAGACCTCGTCTCATAAGTAAATAAATAAATAAACAAATAAAGTTGTCCAGGGAATATAAATACACAACCTTCCACAGCACTTTTTTCTTTTCATTCTCTACCACTTTATCTTCCCTTGCCCAATATTTAGCAATTCCATTGTTTTTAATTTCAAAGATAGTAAAATTCAACAAGACAAAACAACAAGGCCAATCAAAACGAAGCAGCAATATTGGTACAGAACTTCAAAGCAGGATACTAGGAAAAAGCAGTAGCTATCATTGTATATCTTATTATCTTCACAATAGTTGTCCATTCCATTAGGTATAGCAAAATCAAAATAAAAACAAAACAGAATAAAACCAATCAAAACAGAATATTGAATAAAGCAAAACAATTAATCAGAACAAAAACAATATTGGATTTCAAAGACAAGATAAGCCCAGGCCCAGATGGATTCACTGCGGAATTCTACATGAAATACAAAGAAGACTTAATGCCGACACTCCTCAAACTCTTCAATGAAATCAAAAGGGAAGCAATTCTTCCTAAGTCATTCTTGGAAGCAAATATTACCCTAGTTCCAAAACCTGAGAAAGACCCAGCTGAAAAAGAGAACTACAGGCCAGTCTCACCAATGAATACAGATGCAATAATTCTCAATAAAATATTGGCAAATAAGATGCAGCAAATCATCAAGAAGATTATACACCACGACCAAGTGAGATTCATCCCAAGCATACAGGGATGGTTCAACATACGTAAATCAATAAATGTAATCCACCATATCGATAAAGCCAAAAATAAGAATCACATGATCATTTCTATAGATGCAGAAAAAGCTTTTGATAAGGTCCAACACTCATTCATGATAAGAACCTTACAGAAAATTGGAATAGATGGTTTTTACCTCAATATAATAAAGGCCATCTGTGACAAACCAACAGCCAGCATCATATTAAATGCCAAAAACTGAAGGCCTTTACCTTAAAATCAGGCACAAGACAAGGATGTCCCTTATCACAGCTCCTATTCAATATAGTACCGGAAATACTAGCCCAAGAAATTAGACAAGAGAGAGAAATAAAAGGGGTAAAGATGGGAAAAGAAGAAGTTAAATTATTATTATTTGCAGATGACATGATACTCTACATAGAAGACCCCCAAAACTCCATTGAAAGACTCGTAGATATAATAAATAAGTGCAGCAATATAGCTGGATATTCAATACTAAAAATCAATAGCATTCCTACACACTAACAACAGAAGCAACAAAAGCACTGAGAGAGAAATAAGAGAAGCCCCTCCTTTATACTAGCATCCAAAAAAGTGAAATACTTAGGAATTAATCTCACAAAAGAAGTAAAAGATATATACAGGAAAAATTATAATACCCTGAAAAAAGAAATCAAAAAGGATTTCAGAAAATGAAAAGACATCCTTTGTTCATGGGTTGGAAAAATAAATATTGTGAAAATGGCCATTCTCCCAAAACTTTTAAACAGATTCAATGCAATCCCAATGAAAATACCATCAACATAGATCTAGAGAAATCACTCCTCAAATTTATCTGAAACCAGAAGAGACCTAGAACAGCAAAGACAGTTCTAAGAAACAAAGGCAAGGCAGGAGGCATCACAATCCCTGACTTGAAGTTATACTACAAAGCAATTGCAGTAAAATCAACATGGTACTGGAATCAAAACAGAGCCGAAGATCGATGAAATAGATTAGAAGATACAACCACAACTACAAACACACTCAACCACCTTACCTTTGATAAAGGAACCAAACAGGTTCATTGGAAGAATGACAATCTCTTTAATAAATGATGCTGGAAAAACTGGCTCTCCATATGCCGAAAACTAAAACTAGACCCATGCCTATCATCATGCACTAAAATAAAATCTAAATGGATCAAAGATCTGAATATTAAAACAGAAACACTAAATCTATTGGAAGACAAATTAGGTAAAAATCTTGAAGACATAGGGGTAGGTAGAGAATTCATGAACAGGAATCAAACCACATGGGAAATACTTCCCAGAATCAGTAACTGGGATCACATCTTATTGAAAAGTTTCTACATGTCAAAAGAAATCTCCAGCATAGTGAAAAGAAAACCCACAAACTGGGGGGAAAAGTCTTAGTGAACTGTCCCTCAGACAAACTTCTGTCAAAAAATAAAGAATTAAAAAAATCACACCCTGAAATTCAAAGACCCAATCCAAAAATGAACATATACAGTTCTCAGATGAAGAAATACAAATGGCAAATAAATACATGAAAAAATGTTCATCATCATTAGTCATTAGAGAAATGCAAATTAAAACAACACTGAGATTCCATCTCACTCCTGAAAGAATGGCCAGGATCAAGAAAACTACCAATAACAAATGCTGGAGAGCCCGTGGGGGAAAAGGAACTCTCCTAAACTGTTGGTGGGAGTATAGACTGGTGCAACCACTGTGGAGGTCAGTCTGGAGATTCCTCAAAAAGCTGGGATTAGAAGTTCCATTCTACCCAGCTATTCCATATTTCCAGAAGAACTGAAAACATCATACCACAGTGATATATGTGCACCCATGTTTATAGCGGCACAATTTTTAATAGTCAGATCTTGGAAACAATCTAACTGTCCATCAACTGAGGAATGGATTTAAAAAGTTGTGGTATTTTTATACAATGGAGTACTACTCAGCTATAAAGAATGATCACATTGAGATATTTATAAATAAATGGACGCAACTTGCGACCATACTCATAAATGAAATAAATCAAACTTACATGTATAAATACCGTATAGTCTCCCTAGTGTAAGAAATTAGAAGAGTACATAAGATTTTATGGTAATCATGATTCCCCATTACATTGCTTTGAAGCCTTGTAATGTTTTCATTCATTAGTTGCAATGGTTTTATTCTGTTTTATTTTATTATGTGTGATGGTATGAACAGCTATTTTGAAGAAAAAAGACATTATGACAGCCATTGCTGATTTAATATCATCTTGCTTTGAAGTCCTACCATGCCTTTGTTCTTCTGTTTCCATTGGTTCTATCATATTGTATCTTATTGGATTTTAATATGTATGAGACTATAAAGAAATTTTTTATGGAAAATGAGATAATATAGTAGCCATTGTTCACCTTCTGTTATTTGGTTCTGAAAGCTGTGTAATATTTTCATTCTCTTGAATGATTTTATACTATTTTGTTATGTTTGATACTATTGTATGTGAAGGTACACTCAGCGATTTCAAAGAAAGAGACATTATGGTAGTTACGGT